TTAATGGTGGCATTAATTATTATTGAAATCCTGCTTTGCCCCACTGAAACAAGTCTAAATAGCTCTTGCTCTTTCTCTCTCTCCCTCCTTTCCCCAGATCCCCATCTCCTGTATCTGACACCAACATCAGAAAGTCACATGGCAAAGGCTCCTTTCACCTGACTGGTTGGGCCACTGAAATGGGGCAAAGTGCAGAAAGGGTCAGGGACATGTACCCACAGCAGAGATGCTGCAGGAGCCGAGGATCAGAGAGGCTGAGTTGGGGAGGATGCCCTGAAACTGTCAGATAATGTCCCCTGGTGCTATATATATGTACTGTACCCACCCTCTTGCCTTCTTCTATGGGAAGCCCAGTGCCAAGAAAGTATCAACTGACAGCTCCCAGGGATGCAGATAACGAATTAAAATACTTAATAAATTAAATGCAGGTAACTCTTCCCTGTGAGGGTGGTGAGGCCCTGGCACAGGTTGCCCAGAGAAGCTGTGGCTGCCCCATCCCTGGAAGCATTCAAGGCCAGGCTGGACGGGGCTTGGAACAACCTGGGATAGTGGAAGGTGCCCAGAGAAGGGCACATGGCAGGGGGTGAAACAAGATGGTCTCTGAGATCCCTTCAACCCAAACTATTCTGTGATTCTATTCCCCCAAGGGAGCCAGCGTGGCCAGAGGACATGAACTCCGAGAAAGGAGAGGCTTTGTCTGTCTCACACTGAACAGCCATCGCTGCCCAGAAGGTGAGGCCACCTCTGCAGGTGGGTCCAACCATCACCTGTCCCTCAGCCCCGGCACAGAGGAGACCAGGAGTGCTGGTGGGGGCACCATCTAGTTCTGTGCCAGCCTGACTTAGCTTTCCTGCTGTACTTTGTCTTTCCTTCCTATTTCCTAGTGCATAATTATCCCTTTGTCTGTGTGTGGCTGAGTGGGGGCATGAACTGGCATCTTCTGAGAGCAGACCTCTTTTAGGCACTGAGGTTAGTCATGGTGAAAAGGTACCTTCCCTAAAAAAAAAAAAATCCCTCTGAAAATGTAGGAAGTATATCTGCAAATACAAATAAATACAATATGGTATATTAAATGGACCTTAAAAGGTCCCTTCCAACCCAAACCATTCCATGGACCTAAATATATAAATACAGTCACTTACTTTCTTTCCATACATTCTATCTTCTGTGTTTTAAAAGCTGAGCTTCCACACTACAAGGAAGGTGGATGGGCCCTCTTTCCCCTTTAACAGCCACCAAAGACAAACACTTCATGGCTCCTGCTGTGTTGGAATCTGAGGATTTGCTCTTTGCCTTTAGCAGAGCTGTGGCTGGATGGGGGCTGCTGCAGCAGATCCACCATCTGAGCCAGGGGATGGTCCCCAGGGGACTCAGCTCATGATGTGCCACTGAAGCCATTCCATGCTGCTGACTCAAGGAGCACTGGGAGGATGGAGAGTACCCAAAGTCCAGGATTTTCCCAGCCTTAGCCTGGTTTTAAGCGTGCCTTGCAGGCTCCTGGGAGAGAACGACATCATCCCGCTGATGCTCTGCAGGTGATCCGGAGCTGAATCAGCCCCCCCCGGGGTGTGCAGGAAACATTCCACTAATTATAAAACAATCTTGAGTAATGGCATATTAATGAGGACAGGGAAAGGTGATGCTCTCAGGATGGGCTTTCCCACTGCTAGGAGGAGGAGGGAGCTGTACAGAACTGCAGCACTTGGGGGAGCAAAAAATCATCCCATCAAAGGAGTGAAGCTTGGGCGTAAGGAACCCCAGGAGGAAGGAGCATTTTTCTAGCTCTGGGTCTGTTTCTTCTGCAAAACTCACTGCTACTCCTGCTGAAGGTGTTGCCTCCAAGCTCTCCACTCTCTGACCTGCTCTTCTGCTCCAATTCAAGTCCTTTCAGCTCCCTTTTCTAGCCACATCTCCTAGGCTGTATCATTTCTGTCTCCCCTCATCTCCCCTCTCTACCCCTCATTTTTCCAACCCATCAACTCTACCTTCCCCTACTTTCTGCCCTACCAAGCTCCCTGCTCTTCTCTACCTCTCAGCATCTTCCCTCACCTTCATCTACCTTCTTTTCTCCATCTCTCACAAATACTTGTCATATTCTGAAGAGCATCAGCCCGGGGGACGGGAAGGACGGTGCCCACGGAGGAGGTTGTGCCCCCCTATCTAATAACATATGTATCAGGCACCTTTCCCTTCAGCTGGCAGCCTTGGGAAGCCCAAGACGAACCTTTCAACAAGATTAAAGAGATGGTATTAATTGCTATCGATCACAGGTCAACAAATTAAATTGCATCTGCAACTGCATCTCTGAAAGGTCTAAATGAGAAGAGTAGTTAATGGGTCTGGCTGGCCCAGAGCTGTGATTAATTAAAGGCAGAAATGAACTACAACGTTAAAAAAAAAAAAAGGGCAGAAAGGAAGGATACTGGGATGAGGATAAAACTGTGGTGTATCTGGAGAGCACCTGATGGGATTTCAGTTCTGGATCTGCCCTGGCCTGACATGGGCTGAAAGGAAGCAGAGCCAGTAGCAGTGATTTTTGGGGCTACTGCTCCAAGCACATCAGTGCTGTGGAAACACTGCCCACCTATGATTGGCAACTCTTCCACATGAAGAGTGGAAGATTTCCCAGAAAATCTGATCTCATGGAGACCTTGCAGACACCTCTGTGATGGGAGCTGCAGGGCTTTCCCTCATGTCCCCCACCTGCACACTCCAGCTCCCTGTGCGTGGTCCATGGCACGTCCCCTGCCAGCAGCCTTTTATTTTCCATTTGTTTCAGGCACAGTGCCCTGAAAGGGTGAAGGGAAAAAACCCAAGCATTCCCATGTTGCTTAGCAATCCCACTGCTCGTCCCATGCTGGTCCAGCACCGCAGCATCCTGGTGGCAGCTGGGAGAAGAGTACTCCTGGGTGGGAATAAGGGCGCTACAGTGACTCCTTGGGAAATAATGAAGTAGCACAGCATGGAATGGAGATGGTGCTTAATTAATAACGAAGAAAATAATAATATGTGGCACGTATAGAGCTGTACTTGTTCCAAGCACTGTACAAACATTAACTACAGTAATTAAGCTGTAATTAATTGGAGTAACTACTAATCAGTGTAAATAATGATGCATCTGGAGGTACCAAATGGAGTTTGTGAACTGAAAGCAAATTTCCATGTTCAGGAAATGGCATCAAATACAAAAATGGCATCAAATACAAAAATGGCACCAGAAAAAGCCAAAGCCAGATGGAGGTTAAAGCGAGAGCCTGGGAGCCGTGTCAGTCCATGGCAGCTCCCAAAAAGGGAATCCCTGTTTGGCAAAGCAAATCTGTTTTACTGAGTTATGGCTGAGATGCTCCCTGGGCAACACATCCTGTCCATGGGACTCTTGTGGCTATTTCCAGACCCCAAGCCCACTCCTCCCACTCCAGCAACGCTCACCAGCACTGTGGAGAGCCAGGGGCTGGAGCAAGGGATGAGATGGGGAATTGGGAGCTTGAGGGGCTGATGATCAGCAGAGTAAAATACACCACAAGTATATAATTTTGGGGTTTTTTGCTGGTTCACACACTTTATATTTAACAAAATAATTTTTTAATAATATAGTCTTTTACACATCAAATATTGTTTCTAGGACACCTCGACCCCCCCCCCCATTTTTACAGATTGTTTTTTTCCTCACTAGTTTCAGGCACACTATTGTTTGAAAGTTTTGAAACCGGATAGTCATTGACAGGCAACAGCTCACACAGGAATGTGGCAACAGCACCTCTGATGCTCAGCCTGCAGGAAGCCAGTGCTCAGCTGCAGTACAGCAGTCGCTGTGCTCATGCTCATCCCACCCCTGCCCTCCATAAAACACCAAAATGGGGAGGAAATAAAAATGTAAAGGCAGCAGTGTGTATGAACCGAGCCCCATGTGCTGATCCGCTGGCGGAAGATGCTCTAGGGGGGATCTGCGGCCGCCGCTGCCGAGGGCAGGTGCTGCACTGAAGTCTGAACTCAACAAAACAAGCACCATCACCCTCATGGCCACGACCAAAAAAAGCAGGGAACCAAGCGTGGACAATGATGGGAAAGGCTCCTGTGCTCACCTGGGCAGGCAGAGCAGGGAGATGACGTTGGTGGCTTTTCTTTCACAGCATCACTTGGAAGCTGCAGCCTGAGAAAGCAGGAGGTGCCAGTGCCGAAAAGCCTGACGGGATCCCTCGGCTGCAGGTGGGGACCGTGGGGACCTCTCCTCCTGGGAGGCAGGCACGGAGCTGCTCCTAGAGACACCCCTCACCAAGAGGCAATTCCCATGGATGTGGCCAGCCCAGCCCCATCTCCCTGTGCACCGTGGCTTGCTTTATCCCCAGCAGCATGGATGCTCCCAGGGAGAGCCAGGGCAGCTCCCTCCTGCTGCAACAAAGGGTCTGTCTGCCAGCTGAGCCAGGTTAGTGCTATGGGACATTCCTGGAAACCTCCCTGTGTGTGGGGATCAGGTTGGTGTGACCTGCTGTTGCTGAAGGCAATGAAATGCTGCCCTTGGCTCCAGCAAGGGCAGCCTTGGCACCAAGGGATGGGACAACGCAGGTGGGCACACACTCAGCCCGAGAACCAGGAACAGATGGGACCCTCATCCTTCACCACAACGCCCGGCCAGGCCTCACACAGAGACCATCCAGGTGAGACGCTGCTTTCTTGGTGCCTTTCCAGCCCCTCCTGCCTGTTTGCCTGTCCTGCCCTGCCCTGCCCAAGCAGCCAGGGTGGGCTCCTGCTCCCATCAAGGTCACGGTGACTGTTTAAGTGTCTTCAACTTTATTGTCCCCACTCAGTGGAGAAAGTGTAACACAGATACAGCTTTGTGTCTTGGCTGTCTGGCCCATACCTGTGCATCTACCTCAGTCCTGCTGCAGGTTACATTCCAGTTGGGGTTTTTTTTAACACCTTGCTCCCCTTTTAATTTCTACCTCCCTCCTTAGTCCTTAGTGCCACTCCCACTTATAGACACAATAAAAATGCTCCATCCATCGCTTCACTCACAGCTGTATTGTCCCAATGATCCCAGCTTAGGAAGAGGCTTAAAAAAAAAAAAAATCACAATAGCAAAAAACCTTTAAATAAATAAATGTGAAAAACCCCACGATCCACGTCGCAGAAAGTGAGAGCGGTGAACCGATCGTCGGCTCGAAGGCATCACCAGTCTGAGGACTTGCGTGGGCCGTTCTTTTTCCTCCCCAAACCTGACCACTGCATCCCTCCCAAGCACTGGTAATTACAAAAGCAGAGGAGATACCTAGACACCAGATACACAGTGTGCAAAGCCAGAGAAGAGCAGGAGGGGGCAGAGGGAGACCCTTCCCCGCGGGTACAAATCTCTGCTTGTGCGGGACGCTCGCAGGTGTCGCTGGTGACCCTGCTGCAGTGGCGGGAGGTCGGACGCGGGGGCAGCATCGAGGCCGTTCCTTCCTCATCGTCCCCAGAGGGTTGTTTGGCGCTGGCGGGGGGTCGGTCCCACTACAGAGCCTGCTTGCCCTGGCATTCCCGCTTGGAGCACTGCGCCGGCTTCCACCAGTCCCCGTTGTGGCAGTGGCAGATATTGCAGTCGTCCACCTTCACCTCGATGCCGGCGGGAATTATCGTGGTTCCCGCAAAGCAGTTCGGACCTGCAAAAACACACGGGGGCAACAGAGATAAATACGTCTTTGGTTCGGAACGGGGTGCAGCAGCTCTGCCCCAGCCCCTGGGAGCAGTGAGGTGCTCAGCCCCCACCCCTCACTGCTCTGGCCACAGCACTGCCGAAATCCCAGCAATGCTCCTTCCAGCTGCTCAGTGCCGAGCCTTTGCCCCACACCCATCACTAGTCTCACTTTTTTGGATGCCTTCAGACACTAAAGGAAAAAAAAAAAAGGCCTCGGAACTTTCCTTCTCTGTTTCTGTACCCAACCCCTACAACAAATGGCATCGGATGCCCCATCAATGCACTCAGCTTGTTTCTACTTTAGTTGCCCTCTAATTTTTCTCCTTAATTTTGCCTGTTGGACAAGACCATGAGGACAAGCATCAGGACACAGCCCAGCCTTCGCTGCTCCAGCCTGGTGAGCTTGCACTGAGCTGCAGGGACCAGAGCCAATTCGTCCCCACAGCAGCCGGGCTGCAACACCAGGTAACGCCAGGGACCCCCCCACCAGTTGGGGCTATTAACCATGAATGAGCTGTAGCATCAAATTAGCAAAATAATTCACCTGTCAAATAAGCTTTCTAATGAAATCTATTTTTTTTTCTCAAGGGTAATTCCTTTAATCTGCTCATTATTGTTTTGGGGGGTTTTTTTAGCTTCCTTATTACACAGTATATCAAAGCTGAGCAGCAGGTCAGCAAGAATCTTATTTCCCAGTCACAGAACAGTTGGGGTTGGAAGGGACCTTAAAGCCCTTTCCTCCCCCTTGTAAAAGCCCCACAAATACCCACTGCCACCTGACCCCCTGCAAGCCCTCCCTTCCTCCCCTCTCCCTCCTGCATCATTCGGTGCCAGGAATTACTGTCACAGCCAGCAGCACACACACAATTCGAGGCAGTCGCATTCACAGCACTGGGGAAGCACAAAGACATTTGACAAGTCTTGTGGCTCAAGTGCCGCTCTGAAATGTCACCCCTCGGCTGCCACCGGTTCTAATTGTGCCTCCAGTGCACGAGGTGCATTCCAAAGATGAGAGTGTGTACAGACATGAAATGATGGGCAAGTTCTTGCTTAAGTCTTGGGCTTAAGGCTGTTTGAAAGGGTCTCTACATGGCTGGAAACTGAGCTGTAACCAACCCAGTGCTGGGGTCTCATGTTTAACAAGTCTCAGAGATGTATTGATTTATTAGTGCCCTCACTTTATTTATTAAGATGCTCCTCAGGACCCTTTGTTCAAAAGGCCACCGGTTTGACAGGGCTGGGCTTAACCAGACCATTCAGGGTGCCTGAGTGTTATTTGTGTTTAAGCAACCTCCTGACGTTATTAAAGGCTTCTTCAAATGCAGATCAGTTCCTACTGCAACATTTCACATCCATCTTCAGGAAGCCACAACAGAAGTGCTTGGAGAAAGACACCTCTGATGGCTCCTGAACCAGAATCTGGGGTGACAGGGTGTTCCCCAGGCCTGCTGGGGAACATGGGTCCTGCATGGGTCCTCCATGGCAGGGCCTGGGAAGGCAGGCTGTGGCACTGGGAAGGTCCGTGTGCTCCATGATGCCTCCTCCTTTGCCTAGCCAGCACATGAATCCATCAGGATGCCAGGAAGAAGCAGGCTTTTGCTCCGGACACAGATCCAACTCCACATGTTGATCCAGGGTTCAGGTGACACAGCTCTGCTGGCAGTGGAGGAGCAGTGCTCTGGAGTGGGGGTGTTTTAAGTCTGCTTGAGCTGGGCTTTGCCTGGACAAGCTCCAAAGGGCCCCTCCAACTTCAGTCATTCCACACTGCAAAGAACTTCAAAGCCAGGAGTTACCAGCCAAGGACACACAGTGACACAGAACAGCCCAACTCCACCTGTGCACACATGGGATCTGTGTTTTCCTTTGCAGGCCTGTGGTTATAAAAGTCATGGCCCATTCTGGTCAGGAGCTGAAGATCTCCCAAGCCAACATCTCTCCTGAAGACACGGTCCTGGTTGGAAAGGCTGTAATCCCAACTGTGGTATGTTTCTGGCAACCCACTGAGGTTGTCATACTTTCCCACAGCTTTTGGGTCCCTGTGCTCTCCATCTCAGATTTAATTCTCTGCCTCCTGGAGCCCAGTGGGACGTGGTGTGTTGTGGCTCCCAGCAGGGGCCAGGTCGGCTCATTTGCTGCCATTAAATGTCCAGGGTTCAAACACAATGAAAATGCCAATATTGTATCCAGCTGCACTTGAAGATGAAATAAGTACCTGTCCCTCTCTAATGGGATGCTCTGAGTGCCTGTCAGTGTCAGGGATACCCAGCATGGGCAGCCTTCGTGCAACAGCCTGCTCTGGTCTCCCAGAGCAAAAAAATACCCCTTTTCATTGTAATTTAAACAAAAAGCTTCCTCTGGAGATGAGGGTGGCAAGGAAAGGGGAAGATTATTTTCTCTCTTGTTGCCCTGTGGCTGCGTGTTAATCACCTCATTTGAGAAGCCAGTGCTGCCTGGACACCCACACCTGTCTCCAGACACAGCCTTCTCCAGATTTATGGCAGGGCCAGCCTGTTTCCATCACTGGGAACAGGAGGGAGGCCAGCAGTGACAGGAACAAGCAGGTTTGCTCACTCTCAGGAGAGCCAACTTTGCCTCCCAGCCAGGCTCTGGGGACCCCACACCCCTCCCATGGGGTTTTGGCTGCATCCCTGCACTGAACTGGTGCAGGGGTCACTCAGCCAAGGGTGATCCAAGTGGGACTGGCTGATGGGGTGCTGCCAGCTGGGCAAAAGCCTATTTTTCCTTGCATCCTGCTCATCTGCCCATTCATTCCATGGCTGCTCCATCATGGCCACAGCTGCCCTTCCTCCTACCAGCAGCCCCAGGTCTCTTCTCCCTCTTGAGCTTCCCCAGGGAGGCTATGTGGGAAAAAAGTAGTCACCAAACACCTGTCACTAGGATCCCTGTCCCAGGATAGGGAGGAGCAGAAAGCGGACACGGTGATGGAAAGAGGAGATGGATGAGGGGGAGGTACTAAAAGCATCACCTGTGCCTGTGAGGTCCCTTATTCTGGGATCACTTATCCTGGTGACAGCAGCACAGGGACTCCCTGCCCTGGCCAAGGAAGAGGGCAGCTCTGTAAATTAGTAATTAAACACTAGTAATCTGCCCTGCTGATCTCTGGCATCTAAGGAGCAGGGAAGGACCTGGCAAGCACCTCTGTGTCTAAGAGAAAATCCTTGGGATTCTGCTGCCACCCCCCACCCAAGAGGGGCTGGGCAAGGGAAAGAGGGAAAATTACAGCTATTTTGGATAAGTCCTAGGGACTGAAGGCTGGGAGGAACATTGGGGGTTGGCCAAAGGAGCCCTTGTTGAAGCAGCACCCATCATCTCTGGGCTGGCCAGGATCACCTCGGCACACCTAAGGAAGAAGCTGTACTCAGAGGCTGAAGTGAGGGAAAAACCATAGCAATTGGGCTTGTTTTCCTTTTTGTTGGCTTTTAGCAAAATGGATGAAAACCTGGCCAGGGGCTCTGCAGACACTGCCCTCCTATGGGATGTCTTCCTGCCATTTTGGGACAGCCTCTCTCCTGTCAGACCTTGATACTTGTAATTTAGGCCAATACTGCCACTGCTCTGGACTGTTTTTTTCCCCAGTACTCTCTCAAAACACTCCCCCCCCTCTGCTTTGCCAGAGTGAAAAGGTTTCTTTTACACACCTCTCCCCCACTCTACTATCCCTGTCCCTACAGAAACACGGGTTTCTAACAGGAGGCAAAATCTCCACACTCCATTTGTGACAATTCAACTTAAATTCCCACTGCCTGAAATCCAATTTTCCAGCACAACCACTACCAGCCAGCCCCTCCCTGCCTTTTTTTGTCCCCCCATTGAAACTTCTCACACCTTCACACTGGAGCAGCGGGCCCTGTTTGCCCACACTGGGATGCAGCAGCATCACACCCGTGGCAGAGGCACAGGAGAGAGGCTCTTGGAGAGATACTGCACAGCTGAGATTTAGGTGCAAGTATGCCCCAACCAAGTGGCATTTTCTGGGCCATGGCACAAGTCACCAGGGAGTTTTCCTGTTTATACAGCTGGGAGCTCTTGGTGGAGAGAATATCCAGCACCTGGGGATCTGTGTGGCTTTGCCATGTGCAGCCCCTAAAGCCACAACCAGAGCCCACAGCAAGAAACCAAGTCCTTTCTTTGCTCTGCAAGAGCTCAACAGACTCCCCTAAATTCTTTAATATCCTTTTCCCCTCCCAATATTTCAAAAGCTCAGAGCCCCAGCCCAGTGCTGCTCAGGACTGTCCTGAGCTTTTCCCACTGTGGCTGCTTGGAGGAACAGGATGAGACCAAGGTCTGCCAAATCCATGCCAAAAAAAAAAACCCACAAAGGATGAGACAGATCAGCAACATGTTGGGGTTTTTTTTAAATTATTATTCAAAGGAAGATGCTGCTCAGCAACATTTGACGACATGTCAAGCACATCAGGTTACTTGTGATGATAGCAGCAGGAACAAGAAGCTGCTTTGGGCAAGGGCTGTCGTCCTGCTCCTGGTAAAAGCATCTTAAACCACGACTGTGATGATAACAGGACACTAATCACCCTTTTTCCTCGCTCAGGGAGACTGATGGGAGAAGTTTGCTGCTCCCACAGACAATGTAATTGTGAGATTTGCTTTGCTTAACATAGTTAATACTCATAAAAGCCCACAGCACTCCAGGCTGTTTGCTAGAACAGCTGTGAAGATTTTTATGGAGATATATTAAGGACATTCAGATGCTGGTTTAATGGGAGAGATGTGAAAAAATCATATAGGGTTTGTTGTCTGGGGGAGTGATGGCCAATTTCACAACCATATGGCTAAGCCCAGTTACTTGGGTGATGACCCGTGCTGTGCTGCTGACCTGCACCCCTGTTGTGGAGGGGATCCAGGGGTCACACTCTCTCCAACACCAGGAGCTCATGGTGTCCTGCTGATGCCAGGGAGTTGCTTGGTGCTGAACACCAGTGCCCC